CCTGGGTCTGAGTAAGGGCCACTGTGTGCTGTGTGTCCGAGGCGGTGGGCCTGGTGCCAGAGCTCTGCCCACTGGTGGCAGGAGTTCCCCTGAATCCTCCAAGGCCCCCAGTGTCCGTGAGATAAGAGTGTTCACCTCCCCCGAGTTTAGTGAGATTTCCTAAAACTGCCTCTCGGGGTGATGCAGTACACAATTGTGTGTGCGGTCAGAATTCACAATACACAGTTATTTTGAATTTAAATCTATGCACTTTCTTCTTTTTTAAAAAAAGTGAACAGAAAGACTTCGATTGTATTCAGAAGTCCTTAGATCCCATGGCAAGGTGCTACGTAATCAGTGTTAGTTTAGGAAGGCTGTTGAACGTGCTTAGTAAGCTCTGAAAATCCAAGTAAATGTTAGCTGTTTTATTCTTACAAATTGTAGGTCTCAGAGAGCATCAGTCTGTGCGTTGAACATGTCCCAGGTTAGCTTAATTTGGACGTATTTTGATGATAAATACTGGTTTGACTCTTGAGTCAAGATCCTGTTTAAGGAATATTAGAAAAGAAGGAAAGTCACCCAGGTTGTCGTCATTCAGTCACAGAGTTGTCACCACGTGTGAAGCCCCAAACCTCCGAACCCCGCTCATCTCCAAAACGCTTCTCCCGCGCCCAGCCAGGCCCCACAGGAGGGCCGGACAAGGGGTGAGCAAGGGCAAGGGTGCTGGCGTGCCGGGCCTCTGGCCCTCCTCCCGTTCCCGGGCGGTGGGAGGGGTTCTGGGCCTTCCCAGGAGGTCAGAGGGGAGGGCCTCTGCTTTGTTCTAGAAGCACTTGCCAAACCTTGATGCGTTCTGCCTTTGGAAAACATTTTAAACCGACGTTTCGAGTGTGAATATTATCGTGGGCCTTAGCTGTCAACACGTCAAAACCGATGTGATGGACTATAGTGTTTTAGTCCTTTATGATGAACCCTGAGGGTTGTGACATTACATCTGCGGCGCACTAGGCAGGGATTGATTTTTCTTGACTGACGGGAAACACAGTTTGCTGTGGCCCAGGTCACCCCTGACAGCAGCCGTCCGCTCTGAACTTTGTCAGCAGCGCACATGGTGTCAGTGTGCCGAGATGAAGAGCGCGGCTCCCTTCATTTGGGTTGTAGTGGGAATGTGTTTATTGGGAACAAGAGCATGGCTAACCTTTGCAAGGGTCAAGAAAATACTTCTTGGTGAAGTCCTCTCTTTTTGTGTCAAGAAAGACTTGAAGCTTTGTCAGACTTAACCTTCCCACCTATGCCCTCTACTTCCTACACAATAGAAGCTTACTGGTTATGAAATACAAAATGTTCTCTTTTTTTTTTTAACTAGCATGCATTTCCAGCATATGTGGATGCCTGTGAGAATTTACTGGGGCATCTTGTTTTTAGAGGCATAGTTTATAAAATGTTAGTGTTACCAAACTTGAACAGACTCATTAACCATTGCATCATGGGAGGTAATGCTCTTAAATGGGAATTGACTTAACCTTTCAGAATCCCTTTACACTTTCCACCCGAACAGTTGAATGACCGTAACTAGACCTGTTCCTGGGTCCCAGGGCTCGATGTCATACTGCTTGGATTTCCTTACTCTTAAATAGTTAGTGTAGACATCCGTGTAGCTTGGAAAGGCGTAATCTGTTCCCAAAGAAAATATTTCTCAACTGTTTATATAATCAGACTTCTGTGGACCATGTCCACTTTCTTTAGATTTTTCTTCAATAATAGCGATCAAAACACCATTTAGCTGTTTTAACACAAGATGATTGGTTTTTGTTGCTGTCTCTTCTAGCATCCTTCCTGGAACATTTTCTGTAATCTAGAAAAGGCCATTGTGTTTTCCTGCAGTGAGGAATTGTGTTGGGTATGGAGCCGTCTGTCCCCGGAAAAACTGGGGGCGTCACTTGATTATTTGAGTGAAGAGCTGGAGTCAATTTATTGTGACTGGACATAAAGTCAGACCTGGAAGAGCTGCGTGTTTATTGACTGCCTACTGTGTATACGGCATTGCTGTAGGTACTTGACCCAGCAGCTTCTGTTCTCGTGCAGGGAGACAGCCATTAGAAAAAAGGGTGAATGAACAAACTGGTTATAAGGTCATTAGAAAAAGCAGATCAGGTTAAGAGTAAGTGCTGGCATAGTATGGAGGTGTTACTGTTTAAGGTCGGTTGGGCAAGAAAGCTCTTTGGTAACCAGCATTGGAACAGAGACCTGTGGGGTTCAGGCTGAGGGAGAAAGTGGGGTGCTCACTGAGTATGTGGCTCTCTATACTACAGACACGCATGTGGGAGTGGTTCTCAGTGTATTTGAACAGCGAGGAAGCCAGTGTGTCTGTCACAGAGGTGGGGGAGTGTGGGGGGAGGGAAAGGACAGTGGGATCACATAGGGCCTTGCAGGTGATTTGTTGGGAATTTTTGGCTTTTACTGTGAAGGGAAGCTGGTGGAGGGTTTTGAACGGAGCACTACCTTGATCTGACTGTATTTTAACAAGATCCATTCGGCTACTGTGTGGAGAGCAGATTTGAGGGGAGGCAGGTGTGGAAGCGAGGCCGATTAGAGGGCCGTATGGTAAAATCTAGAGGTGGAAAATGTCTGCGTGGACAGGTGAGCAGTGGCGGTGTTGGGAGCAGGTGGCCAAGGCTGGAGGGAGCAGGTCTGAATAGAGAAAGGAGAGTCAGGCGGTGTTTCACTGTGGGCATGTGAAGTTTGCGATGCCCGTCCCGTATCCAAGAGGAGTTGTTGAATAAGCAGTGAAACCTGTACAGTTCTGGAGTTCAGGACAAAAGCCTCAGGCTGGAGACATGAATAAGGGTGTTTTTGTTGCGGATAGTATTAGAAGCCACGCGTCTACAGAGCATTACTTGGGAGCCCATATAGACTGATACAGAAAAGGCCCGAGGAAGGGCACCTGGAGCACTCCTGGTTTGGAGGCTGGGGATCCTCAGCCTTTATTCAACAACTATGTGTTGAGGGCCTTCTGCTGAGATGAGAGGAGAGCGGGCAAGGAGGCTGGGAAGGAGTGGCCAGTCAGATATGAAGAGAGGCAGCGGGGTGGCGTTTCCAAGGAGTCAAGGGAAGAACACGATTCAGGAAGGAAGAGGTGACCTCCTCTGTTATGCCTCTGTTGTTTTGGCCAGGGTGGGTGCTGAGATAGAGCCATTGACTTCTAGAACAGAGCCGGTCGGTGACCTTGACCATAGGTGTTTCCAGGAAGTGGGGGCAGGGGGGTGGGGGTGAAAACCTCGCTGAAGCGAGTTTTGCCGAGGGTTGAAACAGAGAATGGGGCCTGAAGATGGTGTAGGGCCGAGGGACCGTCTCATTGCCACCTAAACCGGGGGGGTGTCACTGGGCTATCTCACATCGTGACTCTGGGTGCCGAGGATGGCGGGGGGCAAGAGAGATGTTGCAGAGAAATACCTGCCTGTGTCTGTGTTTACCTTCTCAGAAGCAATTTCTTCTATGACTTACCAATTCTTTGTCTATTGGTAATTCGATGATTTTTAATAGACTTTGGTATGGGATATTTGTTCAGAGCTTTTTAATAGCGTTGCTTTGTCCATATGCAATTTATTTCCTCAAAGGACAAATTGACTTGACAGTTTTGATTTCCCAGTGTACACTTAAAAATATGCCGTTATACATAGAAGTTGTGCAGTATGCCCTGGGGTTTTCATTGTTTAATTGAAATACTTTCAGGGATGAGAGATTCATAATAATGGTTTTTGGTTCTCTGACAAAACAGGTATTTTATACATAATGACTGATAAGTGTTTTGGCTAATATTGATTTTATCTGAGTTCCACTATTTTTTTTTTTAAACAGAGACCATAAACTCTTGGTAACTTGCTAATGCCTTTCAGTAAATTTTTTTCTCTTGTAAATTGTGTTTCATTTCAATGTATTTTCACTGAGAGTACTGGTCTTTAATCCTTTTTTAAAAATCTTATACCATATCAGTTAAAGAAGAAAGTAAACCATTTATATTTACAAAAAATTACAAATAATTTTTATGGTGTGCTATACATATTTTTTTTTCACAAAACAGTAATTTAAAAGGGCAAGATAAAGTTGAATAGTATTTTAAAATAATGTTTCTATTTGTGATAGCTTTGCATAATCATTAGCCAATCTTTTAAGGTATCGTACCAGGTTCTCAACTTTGGGTACCCATTAGCGCTCTTAGGATGCTTTTTAAAAATTATAACGCACAGGCCTAATTCAGGAACATTGATCAGAATCTCTAGGGAAGCAGGTTTGCTTTGGGGTTGTCTTTTTTTTTTTTTTAATCTGTGACTGATATGCAGTGAGGTTGAGATCCACTACTCTGTATACTTAAGGGTAGATTTATCATTTGCAATAATTGTTATAAATCCAAAGTTCACACCATTTTTATAACCAACTTACCGCCCTTCTTTCCTTCCTCTTTCCTTCCCTCCCCCCCTCCCTCCACTAAATTCTTGTCAACACTGGCTAGATTGCACTTGAAGCTTGTTAAGAGCTACCTGTAGGAGGTACAAATGACCAGTTCTGCCATTTTCCTGTATGATTATGCTTTGACAGAATTTGTATTGTCTTCAATATGTGTAGAAGAATATTTTAAAACTACTCAGCCATTTTGTGAAGATTTGTGTAAAAATCTGCCGTTTTACTTTTACTGGGCACAGTAAACTGCAAGAAACAAAATTCGCCCAATTGTTCTTATGATTAATTGTTCTTTATAATAAATTCCTTTTTTACAATAAACTTTCTAATAATAAATACAGTGATGTGATGGATATATATATTGACTAAAGTAGATACGATTAATCTATAGTGTCTTTTAAAATTAAGGTATGAAGAAAAAAAATAAGAGTATGAGAGATTAACTGCAGTTGGAATTTGGCTCTATGTAGATTGAAAATCTGGACTCATGGAGTATGATTCCAGACTCAAATGAGGGAAACGAAAAAACTCAGTTTACTTTGTATTTTCCTTCCTTGTCTCCATAGGAAATTTGAAATTCTGCCTTGTGATTTTGAATCAGCCTTTGGACAGGATTTTTCGTCATCTTTGGAGCAAAGGTAATCTTAATTAGTATGTATACTTCTTTCCTTTCTTACTCTACTTGGGATTGATTGACTCTCAAATATCCTGGAACTTAAATGTAATAGCAAACAGTGGATTTCATAATGAGGTAATTTACTTACTGAATTATCAGCAGAATTCATTATTGCTTCTCTGTTAACTTGTTTATACCTGTGGTTTCCTCAGCATGGGGCCCCCAAGGGCAGAATCACAAAACAGCATCACTTGGTGTATTTCAGAACTACTGTGTAGGTGTTAATCCTGAGTTCTCAACAGCTGTTTGTTCAAGTGTAAATATTTTTGGCACAGTGACAGCAAAAAGCATCTGCAAATCTTACTGTTTTCAGCTTCCAGTACTAAGATATCTGCAGGGTGACCAGATCTGCAGAATTAAAAAAGACATGTTACCCGTATATTAGAATCCACAAGGATGCTGGAAAGTGTAGTTAAAAATGGAATAGTTTCACAGAAATACTGCTCTTTTGAGGTTTGTGTAAGAAACTGGCTTTATTAACTTTTTTTAATTCTTTGACTTTTATAGCATTAACTCCAGGCTAGAAAATAATATTAAATATCATTTGTTGTTTTGAACCTCTGCTTTTCCATGAAATCTTGGGTACCACACCTGCCTCTTCCCACAAAAGGGATACTTCTGCCAAGTTATCAGTGTGAGTTTTAGGCCAAATTATAGATAGGTAGAAGAACTTGATTCTCAATATATTGATGCATATTCTTGATCCTCTTTTATCATTGCGGACTTCTTAGTATTCTCAACATTAGGGTTATATCTCTCAGAAATGCAAACATACTGTTAATAGGCTTAATCTGTGGATAGAAGGAATAGGTCATTACAGATTTTTGTATAATGAATTTTCATGTCTAATACGATTGTGATGAAAACGCTTGGTATTCTAAATTTAGCCATCTTTAAGTTAGCCAACTTAAAATCTCACATTGTATTTGCACTAGCATTGCCCTTTAAGTTGGAAATGCATTTAACCGTTAACCTATCTTTCAATGCCCTTACTGCTTTCTTACTTGTAATTAGGTAGTTATTTGGGTGCTGTAAGCGTGTAAGATCTTTTTTGTCAAATTATCTCTAGTGCCTAGTCTGTGACCAGTACATAATTGCTACTGATTACAATAAGTGAAAGGGTGAATTTATTATGTTAATATCGCTAATAAATACCAAAGTACCGTAGGTACATTCTTTTCATCTGAACTTATACCAGGTTTTATTAAATTTTTAGGAAAGTGTGTGAACAACTGTGTTTTATTTTAGATGTTAGAAATGGACAAAATAATGATTGATAGGATCGAATGGAAACCTTGGATAATAAAAACTACATCTTAGGAGGTCTTATATTTGGGGGAGGTGAGGGTTTCTATTTAGCACAAGGTGTGAAATGACGTATATTTTGAGCTGATTGAAGTTCCTCATTTCCTAAGTTTTTCTGTAGAGAATTTGATTTGAAAAACCCATGCCTGACAGATACCCACTAATCAATTACTTTGCATACAAAATGATCACGTGGTCAGTGTGTCTCCATGGAGAGTAGGAAGGGTATCTAAGGTGTCAGATGTACTGAAGTGGTTAGAGAATTCTCATTTCCACAAGAACTTCTCTCTAGAGAAGAAAGGTTATTGAAGTGTTCAGTTCTTTCATATACACCTCTGGGACAACTCTTGGCTTTTTGGATCCTTTAATCATTACAAAAAGCCGATCTGTTCATAAATGCTAAGGAATGGGGGAATAGAGTTTTTATGATTCTCGTAGCAGAAGCTGTGATTTTGTGTTTGTTTCTCTCCTCTTCTGAGAAAAGGCATTTAGACAGTTTTCCATTTGTCCGAGAGAGGCTGAGGAAGAAGTCCGGGACAGCGCTGTGGTTTGGGGTTTCGGCAGTGAGCAAGGGCTGCGGGCCGCCAGGCCTGGGACTCGTTAGCGCATTTCTGTACCTTCTGTTCTGCGGGGGGTGAAGACTGCGAGAACAGAAATCAAGTGGTAAAAAGCTGGCTGTTAAACCAAAACACAGAAAAATATGAAGGCTTCTGCATAGTGTAAGTCTGTCATGTGAAATTGACAATCTAACTTGGACCTCTGCCAAGGACTCTCAAGTTGAGTAGGTGTTTCCTGGGATTTGTTTCAGGGAAAAGACTACTCGAAGATTTATTTTTTGGGTTTCTTCCTACAATGTTTAAGTGACATGCCACAAAATTTGGTTCAAATGATGAAAAATAGGACTCAAGGGAGATTAAAAGTAGAAAAGTTTTAAAATGTATTTTCTCTTTAAAACCTCATGATATCTCAATGATATTCGTGGTCACAAGCCTTGGAATAGATCCCTACCAGTCCCAGAATTCTGTATCCTTGATTTAGTATGGACATATAAAGTAAGTACATAGTAGGTAGGTAGGTAGGTAGGTAGACAGACTGATGAAAAAAGGCAGACAGGTAGAAAAGTAGTTAGTATCTAACTTTTCTATAATTATCAAAGGTTATTGGCATTTGTGAGTGGACGTTGATTGCCCTTAGATTTTTTAACCTTTTTTTTTTAAACATCAGGCATTCTCTTCCAGTAAGTATATTTCTCACCTTGAAATATGTGGTAAGAAAAGAAAGTAGGCATGGCTATGTTTGAACAGCTCTGCTTATTTCTTGTGGTAGGTCAGGTTTTCTCAGCTTGGGGTCCTCAGCTTACCAGGGTCCTCAAAGACAGTAAGAGAGATCACCTAGCTACATAAAGTTGAAATACAAAAAAGAAGCATCCTAACAGATATTCATTTACTTGGGATAAGGTGACATAGATTGACCATATACAGGTTTGTAGGAGCTGGACTTCTTAAAGTGTATCCTCATTTTTGACTTGACTTCTTAGCCTTTCCATGTCTCCTCCATATGACCCACAAAATGTGGGGACCGTGTTCATTAGATTACAAATCCATGATCAGATCATGTTAATGTCACGTGTTTAACTTCAGTGGGATCCTTTTTCCCTCTGACAAAGAATTGCTTTTCCTTATTTGACTTCTTTCTTTTTCAGCTCAGTAACAAATCTTAAGATCACACCAGAGTATGGGCAACATACTCTTTTTTTTTTTTTTTTTGGTGGAGAGGATGAGGCTCAAGTCATAAAATATTTGACTGATCAGGCAGGTCTTATACATTAAAGGGAGACACATGTGGCAATTCAGGAATCGAAATACTAGCAAGATCTTTGGTTTTATAACATTAGTTTTCCCTTCTGCTCTGTTTGTCGTTGACTGATACCTGTCGATGGCCTTCTGTGGGAGGAGGTGGGCGACAAGCAGGGGAGGTGTCTGTGGGCTCTCCGCTGTGGCTGGAATGGAGAGTGGGGCACAGGTGGCTGCCTGTCTCTGGTGAGCGTGTGAGAGGCCCTCTGAGCCCCGGGTCCCTGGAACGAACGCACTCCGTCCCCGCTTCTCAGCAGCTGAGTTTACTGTGGTATTGGGTGAATTGACTTTACTTTGCTTGTGTCTACATGTGTTTCTTTCTTTTAAACAAAAACACCTTACCCGAGTAAAGCACGTTTTAATAGAATTGCGACTAGCTCGCTGAACACACTGACACGTGCCAGTGAGTAGTGTTGCCGTCAGATTTAAGTTCCTCGACGTCTGCTGTGAGCAGCTTGTTGCTGCAATAGTGGCTCGTTGACTGACCCTCTGCCTTCTCAGGTTATACGCGCGGGGCCCTGTAAGCCTTTTTTAAACTGATTTTTGATGTGAAGCTCAATCAAAGTTAGCAGATTTATATTAGGGGAAGTTTTTTTAAAATTTCCCTTTTTATTCCCATTTCTTAATTCTGTAGGCCTCTTTATCTCACTTTTGGCATCCAGGATGTTTATTCTCATTAAAATAAGAGAAATCAGATACCTGTGATGTGTGTGTGTGTGTGTGTGTACACATATACACACACACATTATATATTAACACATATATTTGTATGTCATGTATATGTGTATATAGTGTATATGTATACATACATGTATGTATATATAATGTATAGGTATACATGCATATATTTATATATATACATATATGTATACAAACATATATTGGTATGCTTTAAAATGCTTGGTATCAATTGATATTTTAATCCTATTAAATCTATTTGTGTGCATCATCCCTGTTAGAGGAATTCCAAGGGAAACATGTTTTGATACCTTATAATTTAGAAATCACCTCAGAGCTGTTCTTAAAGCTGACTCTGAAAGGGATGTCTCTGTGTGTGTGTGTGTGTGTGTGTGTGTGTGTAAGAGTGTGTTTCTAATGCAATGTTTTCTCTGGCCTCATATCCCACTGCTGTCCCTTCCTATGTACTTAGTGACTGATACAGAACTGCCTTTTTATTTATTTATTTTTTTTTGCCAAAAATAGATGTTTATTCACCTTGCAGACTTCCACTCCTCCTTTAAAGTCCAGCTCAAATGCTGCCTCTTGTGAAGGAAGGCATCCTTACCTTGCCCAGGTAGAGACAGATGGTCTCCCTAGTATTTCTGTTGTGTTCCTATTACTACCCATGTCACCACATGCCTCTTTGAGGATAAGCTTCTTGAGAATGGATACAGGAATGCTTAGGTGAAGGTGTTTTCCTTTTAGTTCCTGGGAGAGCAGCCCAGGGGGCGTTACTGTAGGTCATCTGGCAGTTGCGGAAGGTCAGTGTCTGCATTTGGTGCTTTCTGGGTCCTGGGAACGCTCTTGGCCTGATGTGAACCGGCAGGAAGTTCTCATTAGTTCTCTTTCTCTCCCTCTCCCTCTCCCTCTCATCCTCTCTTCTCTTCCCCCCTCTCCTACTCCTCCCTCCCCCCCAGGTGTGCCTCTGGTTCTCAGACCAGGTTGGGTCCCTTTCCCATGTCTGCTCACGTGAGTCCCATCATTCATTTTTTCCCCCTTTGCTCTGTGACTCCCAGATGCTTATCTGGTGTTTCCTGTTACAGCCGGTAAGAACTGATATTTTTATTAATGTATCCTTCTTTCC